TGCTTGAAAATAACATAGGTGCTTACATAGAATGATTAGTTAATGAACTAATGATGACTGCTAATAAAACTTGAATATAAGGATGCACTATTAGTAATGCTTCCTACAAATGAAATAAACCAACAAGCCAAATAAGCCTTACATATCCTTGGAGTCTTTTATTTTCCTCCTGTCGGGTAAGTCTTGCTGAGTACAATCGAGTACTCAGGATTTCATTCCTCCTGTTGCAGGTGACGGGTGGATGCTAGAGCTGATTTTTGTGTGTGGAAACCTTCTGATGGGCTCAGAAATGATTCCTTTCACGCTGCGATCGTAGTGTTTATTTATAACCCTCACTAAAGATTTTTATAAGAAAAAATGTAAAATCTGCTAGTATCTCTTGTATATAAATGTCAACTATGTTAATACTTCACCGTGTCATTAAATTAATTTTTGTTTCCGTTGTAACTCTGATCATATGTTATTTTCCGTTGCAAGATAAAACTTGTGAACTCGAAATGTATAGACTCTTTTACATGTAAACTGTTTTAATTCCGCTGTTGCATTCAACTTGTGTAATACTTTAATGTTGTAATAAAGTGATGTAAGAAATGGTTAAGAGTGTTGTAAGCTTTATTCTCTCATTTATGATCTGGACGGAAAAATATGGACTTTTGAGTTCTCCCTTGGGGTGTGTTCAACAGGACGGCACGATTTAGTGCACTATCTTGGGTACTTAGTGTCTAATGGAAGACAAGTACTCTTAGGAGGGCATTAGATTAGGCGGTTCTGCCACAGTCAACGCGGAGCTCGATACCGGCACAGAGCTCGATGCCAAGGAGGTTGCCAGTGCACACCTCATCGGCGACGCGAATCTCAACAGCGCAGAGCTCGTCGACAACATGCAGCTCGCCAGCGGTAGCGCGCGCAGAGCTCAGCGACGACACGTAGATGCCGACGACGCAGAGCTCGGCAGCAACGCACACGGAGCTCAGCGGGGCGGTTGAGGCCAGCGAAGAGGCATGCGAGCTGCGGCGGGGGTGAGGAAGCCGACGGGGTGGTCGGTTTGGACGGAGGTTGCACGGAGGAGGGCGCTCGGAGGCACGGGAGCTAGCGGCGGCCGTGGAAGCTGGGCGGGCGGCCATGGCGCTCGGTGCCTGTGCTCTCGAGCAGAGCGAGAGGGAGAGGAGCGAGGAGAGCAAATGGGAGACGGAGAGAGGACGCTGACTCGGTCTCCACAGTTGCGCGACCCCGAGGCGACGAGTGGTGGAACGAATGGAGCATGGTGGCCATGCGTCGGGCGTGTTCTGTCCTTCCTGTTCTTGTTGCTTTGAATGGAGAGACAGAGGAGAGAGACGAGATGGAACCGGAAAGGATATTTATGTGGTGGGTAAAATACGTGGACTCCATGAGGCCACGTAGCGTCCGTCGTCTGGATGCGGGACGGACGCCCACAATGGAGCATTATCGAAGTTGAAAGGTTTATTTCTTTGAAATAGAATTTTGAAGATTCATTGCCCGAACTGCGTCACTATGTAAAAGTACGTGTGCCTTTAGAAGTTGACTATAGTTTAGTTGGTTAGGTTTTGTATGATAAGACCTAGCCATATGGATTTAAGCGTTTAATTTAGCACGAATGCTCATATTTATGCCTAATATTAGTATTTCAGTGATAGACAATGTGTCTATTAATGACGAGAGTTTGTGATGATTTCATCCATTTTAAGATCTACCAAATCAATCTTTTAAAGTCCTATACATGTAAGTGTGAGTAACTTTTACTCCATTTCCTGAATATATGTGAGCTGTTATCAGTTTGGTGATAGTCTAAGATGCCGTGGCGTAATGGTAGTGGTTACTCCTATATATTATATCTTGTTTGAATCACTGGACTAAACTCCTAGGCCATCTAAATAGATAGAGATGAAAACAAATGGAAACGGGCGGAAAATATCCTCGTTCATTTCTGTTTTCATAATATTTCACCGAGAGCGGGAGTAGGATAGTCAGGAGAGGTAGCGGTAGCAGGATATACAGTTATACGAAAATGGTATACGGTAAAAAAAAAATAGACACAAACAGACCGTAAGTGAGAACTTAAGCTGAATTATGCCGCATGGCATGAGCTAAATTGATGGTGTACCATATGGTGCACCTCATAGAGTCACAACTCAGTATGACATACTACACCTCGTAATTCATGTATTACAATACTACAATACACAATTCAACATTACACATACATCAACAAAGGGAACGGCCATGGACCGTATCCATCGTCGTGGTGTGAGTGGAGGTAGCGACACACCGACTCAACCGCGTCTGCTCAAGAATCAGCGACAACACCACCCATCCATCATACGCCACAGCTCGCAACAGCACATGATAGGTTGCAGCTACGCTGCTTACGATGGTGAGAGGTGCCGAGATGACCAAGGACTAGCGAAGCTATGGATACAATCCAATGCAGTGAAGTGCGGCGGCAGTAGTGCGTGAAGAGAAGCGGCGACTAAGGGTTGAGAGCGCGAGTCCTGAGGGGAGGGGAGTTTGCTAACCAAGCATTGTGAGATGAAAACGGGAATATCCCCATCAAAAACAAGATACCGAGAACAATGGCAGGATAACCTCAAATCCTCAACTGTTTTCGGTCTTGGTCTCGGCGCATCCCCTCTCGTTTCATGTCCAGTTAGTGTATTTTCTCCAAAAAAAAACAGGGATGAAAGCGGTAAATGGTACAAGATTGATCCCGTCCGTTTCATCCTATAAACGGGTGGACTAAAAGGAACTAATTTCCAGTCCAACTCAACTAGTTGTTAGTCTCTCTGACTAGTCTATGTATCTGAATAAAATATGACTAAATTTTAATGGAATTGACAACTTTTTTTAATAATGAATAAAATCTAGTTTCATCCCTTGTAACCAACTAACCAAGGGAATCAAACCAATTATTACAAACGTTTGACAAAACAGAAAGTTGACCCAACTTAAGAATCAATCCTAACATTAAAAGGCCATCCGAAAGAAGCAAAGAATTTTAAGGGCGCGTTCGCTGGTCTGGATGGTCCAGACAAGCCGGCCGACTCCCCTCACAAAACACTGTTCATCAACCAGCTGCTACAGTGTTTCTCTCTCACAAAACCAGCCAGTTTCATTCAAGTTTCAGACCAGCGAAAGGGGCCTAAAGCCTCGTTCGGCACACATGGATGATGCCCTCTTTGTTTCTTCACACCGTTCCACCTGTGCCCAATGACGTAACCAATGTATTCCCCTAGATAAAACATGTAAAAAAGTTTTAGGTTTGCATGTATCAAAAACAATTTTATTCCTTGTAAGCCATATTGGCCAGCAAATAGCAGCACCTCCTATTAACAAAAGAGAATAAATCTAACAACTAATTTAGGTGATCAGACATGCCCTTAACTGTTCAACAAACCATATATTATGACCTTGTTTGGATTCATAAAGCTAATAGTTAGTTGCTAATAATTAACTTTTGGATCCAAAAGTCTAGTCAATAGTTTAGCTAATTGTTAGCTGCTAATAATTAGCTCTTTGGATCCAAAAGTGTAGCGTAATACTCAACTAACAACTAGTACTTTACTAATATTAGATATGAACTATTAGCTAGATAATTATTAGTAGCTAATAGGTCCAAACATGGTATATATGTTTATACAAGTGTCATGTACTCGGCTCGTTTAGTCACACCCGAACGCAAAGGAAAAAGAGTGGAAAACTAAGGGTCAGTTTGGAAACTCTAATCCTTTAGGGATCATTGACTTTTTCCAGGATGAGCAAGCTATAGGAATGTTATTTGAATAAGATATTATTTATGGGAGGTTTTTTCTCCTTCAGTTTGGCTCCGCTCCCAAATTATGGATCCGTCATCCCTATACGGAGTGGCCACCGATAGCAACCTGTCGGCGGTGGTCAACTGGTCATCGTCCCCGTCAGGCTCCACGGGCTGTACGGGGACTGCGGCGTATGACGAACGGAAATGTTTATCCGTAACCGAAAGCATCTGGACAGCGATTCCTCGCGAACGTGCCCTTAGCCGCGTGTTTGGACAGCGATTCTATCGGGGCCGTCGAAGCTGATATTATTTCACTCATCGCCGTCGGGGCCACCTCCTCTCGGTCCTTGCCTGTCGTCAGTCTCATCTCCAAGTGGACACAGGACCTGCAGGCTGCAGCCAAATTTGGGCCATGTTCGCTTGAACTTATCAGCCATGTCTCACACCAAATCAGCGAAGAGTACTTTTCAGCCTAGCTTTTCGCCCATCGCCAAGTCGTTTTACATCTTCATCAGTCTGGAGGATCATCATCAGTCTCAATCCATTTGTCCGTCATGGCTATCTGCCTTCATCGGCCATCTCTACCTGAGCACAGCACCCGCAACCGACACAAAGGTGCAATCCTCTTATTTTTGTGCCAAACAACGGCAGCTGCAAGCCTACTACAATCAGGCCCTCACAAGCAGGGGTGCAGGAGATGCACCCCAACACCATTCCATGCATGGCACAAACTGCACTGTACTTGAAAGTATCCTGCCTGAACAGCTGAGCAGTCACATTGCTATGACTGTATAATAAAGCAACATATGGTATGAGTATGACATCAGAAACTGAGGGCTATATACCAAGCAGATGGCTAAAACATGCAGCAAGGTTTGGACTATGGAGGTCATCGGCCAATCCTACTGGAACGGTTTCAGCTATAGCAATGCTCAATGTTTTTCACCTCAGGAGTACACTCACACACGCCTTTATCATACAAAATCATCCCCTCGCATAAATACGACCCCAAGAAAACCAACGGAAAAAATCGCTATGGCTAACATATTGATCCAACAATGTACAGATACTGTCACGACGATCGACACAGGTGCTTGCAGAGTTTGCATGCCTGACCAACCAACCAACCGATGAGACTGCAGTCGAGCTTTTCTCTGTCCCTACGCGATATCCAGCTTCTATATATCAGGCACAGACTCGTAGCAATCACCGTTTTCCTGATAGCTAGCTAGTCTTCCTGATTTCTCCAGTTGAAAGGTTCTCCCTTCGGTGCATCCTTTGGAGTGTTGTTTCCACTACTATCACCAGGTTCACTTGCAGGTGTTTCCACTGATCTTGCTTGAGTTGGAGCTTTGCCACCCCGACGCTCCTGGGAAGGGCAGCACAATGTTAGCAATCTAAGTCTGCAATTTGGAAAAATATTACTCTTTTCATGATCGTTGAAATTGTTTGAAGAAAGAACAAGTTGGCACAGCTCTTGCAGGCTTTGAAGGGGAAGGCACACATAACTTAAAGCAAAAACGACCAGGCATACCAGATTGATATCTAAACTCATATGCTGTGAGAACAATTAAAAAAATGAAGAATGGAGGGCAGCCCCCCAATTAACCTACAAAGGATTAGTGAGAGCACAGTCCTCTAGCGAGTTGCCCCATGAGAGTCATGGAATTGTGATAACAATAAGTGCAACCAATTCAGTGCATATCGTATAGTGACCTGTACGGATACTTGACTATAACAAGTAAATAAAGGTGTTACCCAGCAAATCCAAATGTAAACAATGAGCGCAAACAAAGTGTTTATCATGGTGACCTTCTTGCTTCAGAATTGGCGGACAATAAGATTTACGGGCAACAAAATCAACACAATATTAACATACTAAAACAATGGGTACTCAAAAATAAGTTCAAAAATATGCACATTCCATCTTAACTTACATCTCTGTACGGAAAATCATCAACTTCAAGCATGTGGATGACATGCCCAATCTTTGGCCTCTTGCGAGCTTCAGGATCTACGCACCGCAGAGCCACTAGCAAAGCCTTCTTCAATGCCCTAGAAGTAGGCTTCTCAGTCATCTTAGGATCCAAAACCCCTTCAGAGTTTCTGTTGCTGACCATCGTCTTCAGCCACTCAACAAGATTAATCTGAAAAGATTGCTCCACAAAGTTCATATGTGCACTTCTCAAGTTCATTATTTGCGTATGCAAGGAGGTACCACCATTACTAACCTCCCCTGGCGGCCTGTTGTAATCAACAGGTACGCGGCCAGATATTATTTCCATGATCAGAATTCCAAAACTATAGACATCGCTAGTTTCATTCAACATGCCAGTGCCCGCATACTCTGGCGCAACATACCTGCAAGCAATTAAATAAAAAATAAGCCACTGCATTCTTGCTTATCTTGTGTGATCCTAATCTTATAAGTAGTGTTGATGTCTAACCCAAATGTCCCCATGACCCTGGTTGTGACATAACTCCTCTCAGAACCCAAAAGTTTCGCTAGCCCAAAATCAGAAAGCTTTGCATTCCAATGCTTGTCAAGAAGAATATTGCTCGACTTGACATCACGGTGAACCACCTTTGGCTCAAGTCCCTCATGCAAATACATTAACCTGCACAATTATGTAAAATAATGTAAGCAGACAGTGACAGCCAAAAAAATTATGGACCACAGTAAAAGTCAAAAGGTGCATACCCTTTTGCTGTTCCCAGAATAATCTTCATTCTTATATCCCATGTAAGAGGGCTCACAGGACCAACATCACCATGGAGCCATTGCTCCAAGTTTCCATTATTAACATACTCATACACAAGCATCCTGGAAAAGAACCATATACAATGAATTTTATGATAAAACTGCAAACTCCTTGGTTCTACAATTTCACAATATAAACTAAAGCTATTGTCCATACAAGAAGATACCTTTGGTTGCCTTCAGCGCAATATCCTAACAACCGCACAAGGTTCTTGTGTCGCACCGACCGATAGCTTCCACCTCAACCTTGAATTCACGCTCTGCCTGCCCCTGATAGAACATAGCATCAAAAGTTGATCAAATTCAGCAGCACAAAACCACTAATTGAAATATACATTTCATCATCTATATTATATATATGGCAGACTACACTATAAGCATGAACCCTACAAAACAAAACTTAGTTGGATATTTTCTAGTATCGAGTTCTTGCACAGAGTGTCACCATCTGAATTGTCACATCTCCATTGACAATTCGTATACATCTTGCTTAGACTATAATCAACATTTTGCAAAGGAAAGACGATAGCCAATTGAACACACAAGCTTATAAATACGGCTATGCTTCGGTCCACAGGTAGCATCAGTACCTGTTGTTGAGCAAGTTTTTGACGGCGACCTGCACTCCACCCTCGAGCACGCCGTGGTACACTATGCCGTAGCCGCCCTCGCCGATCACCTTCTCGTCGGCGAACATGCACGTGGCGTCCTCGAGCTCCTTGAGCGTGTACCAGTGGCCCCACCCCAGGTGCGAGACCTCCGGGACCCCCGGTTCCCCGCCACCGCCGCGGCTCTCCCCGCTGGCGCCCCGAGACGACGGGCCCCCGCTCCGCTGGTGGTGCGGGGGCGGCGGCTGCTCCGGGAACGTGATGCGGTGCTCCTTCCCCGTCTCGATCTGGATGGAGTCCGGCGGCGGCGCCTGCAGCACCTGGGCGAGCGGGGCCTTGGCCGGGGGCGGCGGCAGGGCCGCGGTGCCACGGAGGGCACCTCCTGGATGTCCTTGGGGGCTTGGCGGGGTGCTTGGGCTGGGCATTGGGCACGACGACGGGGAGGTGGAGGACGGGGGTGGCCGGGACGGCGCGGCGGCGGCGGCGGCGGCGGGAGGCGAGGAGGCAGAGCAGGGAGAGGAGGACGAGGAGGAGCACGAATGCGGCACCGACACCGACGCCGACGAGCTCCCAGAGGTGGAGGCCGAATACCAGCGTGCCCTGGGACAGCTCAGAGTCCGACATGGGCGGCGCCGCGCTGCTCAGCTCCGCTCCCCCGGCTGCTCAGGCCGAAACGAAATGGTGGATCTCCCTCCCAAGAACCCCCCCGCTCAGCAGAATTGGGCGCTACCAAAGAATGAAGAAAATTCCCAAGAAAAGAACCGCCAAGAACTGGGGTTTTGCAGGGGAATTGGGGCGCGAAGCCGGATTCATGCGGGAACAACCAAGAATCTCTGGATTTCTGCAGGGGCGGGCGCAGGCAGTGGGAAAGGTATGACTTTGCGGGGAGGGAGGGATTTAGGACAGGATGGAGTGACGAAAATGGTGGATTTGGAGCTTGATTGGGCACGAAAGGTTGGATTTGCGGGCAATGTAGGGGCTGAGACTGGATTATTTTGGGGGCGTGAGGAGCGACGAGCGAAGCGTGGTTAATTTAGCTAGCTCTGATGCAAAGCATGGATTTTGACGTGGAGGTGGAGGACTGGAGGAGGGTGGTGCCCGGTGGCGAGGTGTGTGGCTGGCCTGGGTGGCGGGGTGGTTGGTGGCGATCATTAGAGGCCAATCACAGCCCAAATCAACAAGAAATGCACACAAGGAAGCATGGACAGTACAAAAGTGACTGCTCAGAGAGAGTGAGAGTGTAGTGAGTAGAGTACGTACGATAGATAGAAGGGAGCGAAAGGGCACTAGGGGAGAGAGATGAGACGGGGCGGGGAGAGCGGAGAACAGAACAGGGAGGACGGAGGAGTGGAGTGCAGGACCAGTGGGACTGGGAGGGAGAGGAGAGAGGATCACAAAACAGGAGCAGTGACAACCAGCCCGACAGGGTGTTTGCATAATTGTACAGTATTGGTGGCGACTTGGAATTGGGCGATAGAGAAGTCAATACCGGATCCCTAAACAAATGCACAACAGGATATTTTTGGGTCGCAAACGCAAACAGTCTCGGTTTCAGACGCGAGCGGATCGAGTTCATGAGTTGCAACTTGCACACCCCGTTTCAAAGTTCAAGCGTGGGAATCTCAGGATCGGATGATTCCTGTTCGGCTGCAGCCACAGCCGACAGCCTACAATCGCTTTTGCTACAATAAATCTATGAGAGGAAAATGGCAGCCGTTTTTTCTACTCTCACAAAATTACTATATTAGTAAAAGCGGCGGTAGCAGCAGCCCAACAAACAGCGGGTTCGCTTTAACTTATGAGGCCGGCTTATTCCGTAGATGGTACAATATTTTTCTCTGCATAATAAAAGCAAGATGTCATTTGGTTTATCAATCGTAAAAATCATTAACCGAACAGCTTATATTGTATGTTTAAGACGAGGTTTAAAGTGAACTTGTGCTATTCCTAGATTTTTTAAGACGAAAGAAAAATTATGTTAAATTATAGCTGAGTACATCATCACGTTACAGGTACTTTGGAATACAATACGTATATCAAGAAACTGTTTTTCATCTACATTGTACCCACACCTCGTATAGCTCCAAATCTAAATCCCAAACCTGTACAACGATTCATATGGATGACCGAACTGATAAACACTTAGCAAAAGGCCTGAGAACATATGCCCCCAGGCGGAATTGAGCATAAACTTCTTCTTTCTCGTGCCTTTCTTCTTCTTCCTTCTGCCACCGAAGAATAAGGAAAACCAATCTGAATCTTCCCAACTCACTACCATTAATCGGCTTGAGGGATATATTTATTCTCACTAGTCCTTCATCGTGGTTAGATCTAACCACAACAAAACGAAGAAGAAACCGATGAAAATTATTCCATAACGGCGACATCATCTCCGTCTTGATGTTGCCGTCCAAAAACCTAAAATCTTCTTGTCGCCATGCCAAGGAAGTTGCTAACACAGCTGTTGTCCCCTCGTCTTTATCAAAGTCGCCATGGAGAAACCAAATCCATCTTATCTCTTCACCGTCGCCGGAAAGGAGGGAGAGGAGACAAATCATCAATACCAAATAATTTGGCACGGAAAGATCCTAACTCCAACATGACTGATCTACTGAAAAACTTATTAGAGAGGTGGATCCTCACTTCTTCCGGCCTCCGGCGAGTTGTCGAAGAAGAAAAGGAGGGGGCCGGCGGTGGTGGAGGCGGGGGGGCCTACGGCAGCGTCGACTACGCACTAGGGAAGGGTTTCATTTCACTGTTTGCAAGATTTGGATTGAGAAATGAAACTGGCTCTCTCAGTGGAGGGTTTCATTTCACTGTTTGCAACACAAACTGCAACAGTTAATGTATTCATGATGTTGTGATCCAATGTGCCATATAAACTATGTAGCCATTTGAAAATATATCTAAATTAAACCTAGTCACTTTGATAACTACAGTATACTGTATGCTGACAAATAAACATTGTAAAATAAAAAATTAATTAATCCAATATTCATTAGTGTATATGCATACATTAAAAATGATTACCTATAATTCAACATATACGAAATCTTCGATGGAAAATATAGAAAGAATACGGAGAATTTTCCAGAGAAAGCCAAAGTAAGGCTTCACATGTGAAGAAAGCTCTCAGACTACAGTCATCGTTCACACTACACGCAAGCTACAAGTATCAAGTTCACACGTACATGCATCGGGTTCATTCATGTACGCGACGCAGGGGAGAAAATTTCATGCATGCAAGCCGAGCCGTCCCGTCAAGTACTGCTCATGTGCTTAGCAGCCATGTTCCCGTTGGGAACCATGAACAGGAACTTGAGATATCATTTCGTAACGTAGAAACAAGAACATTCGCGTTTCCGGAACGTAATGTTCCCGGAACGTAGAACATGAGAATAGGAACATAGACTATGTTCTCGTTCCTAGGCTGCTAAGCTCCTATCCCGTTACGTGCTACTCCAGATGCAAATCAGATACGTACGTGACCTGAAACCGTCACGCCGGAAAGGAGAAGACGCGCGAGACGCCGGAAAGGAGAAGACGTGCGCGCTGCGCAGGGGATCCACGCGGGTGCTAGGTATTGAAACTCGTCGCTCTCAGTGCAGGTTTTATGGCCTGGGTAACCGTGACAACTAAGTTTTATATTGATGAAATTCTTTTCTCTCTCTCTAATAAATATCTCGCCACATAAACGAATTTGCTGATGTGTTTAGCGTCCTATAAACGTTACCATGGTTGTCTGGGCGCGGTCCTGCTCGGAGGCATGATCCAAACAGCCTATTTATACAGATTGGTATTGCTAATTATGTTGTTTATTAAAAAAAGTTGTATACACTAAATCTGCCGACGGATATTAAACCACATGCAGCCATTTATATTGGAGCTTGTGGTGGGTCCACTAAGACTCTATGAAGTCATGTTTATGGTTCTATTTGGATCTGCTAGGCCGCTTCAAATTAATTTAGGTTAGTCAGCTAGTTGACTAACAGCTAGTTGAAAACTTAAAAATTTAGCATATCTATTGCCCCCTATTTAGATGGAATAGAATTAATTTTAGCTAATTTTTATTACATAACAATTAGTGCTTCGTATGAAACACATCTAATACACATGCTATTTGTCACGTTATGAAAGTCTTCGATAATGGATACTCCGTCCATAAAAAAATACAATTATCGTATTTCGAGAAACAAAATGCTTTTAAGTTTAACCAAATCGGTAAAAAAATATCATTAGATTTTCATAAACTTTCATAATAAATCAATTTAAAGATATAAATGTGAATACTATTTACTGTAAATTTGGTCAAATCTAAACTACTTTAATAGGTACTATAGTTGCATTCTTTTGTGGGCGAATGAAGTATATAAAAGTAAACAAACAAAAGATATTTTTTGAGTAAAAAAATAAAAGATATTTTGATATAGAACATGGGTGCAATTGGAGAACGAACCGAAAACTCTGATATTCACGTGACCTTCGTGCCATGCAAGGGTTTTAGTTACATTCTAAAAAAGTAAAATACATTGTTAGACCTACCGTGCACTTTGTCAAGATTGCTTAACCTCTCTACCCACACCCTGGCTTTTCGACGTGCGCCTTGTTTAGATGCTATCTAAATTCCAAGTTTTTTACTTTCTCCATCACATCAATTTTAGCCGCTTGTATAGAGTATTAAATGTATGTAAAAAAAAAGCAATTACACAGTTTAGATAAAAATCACGAGATGAATCTTTTAAGCCTAGTTGGTTCACGATTGGACAATATTTATTAAATAAGGCGAAAGTGATACTATTCATCGAGTTTACTTTTTTTACCAAAATGAACGAGGCCGTGGAGAGCCTTTGTCAGAGAGGACGTGTTTGCTTTGAAACCTGAGCCAGGTAAGTCTATCAGGCACGCATCTAGACCCAGGCGTATGAAATCCAACGCTTGGGCTTGATGCCTACTACATCGGACAGCGCTGGTTAGCCATAAAGAAACATATCAAAATAATAGTAAGTCAGCAACAGATTATTATCATTGCCATCTCCACGTTTCTACGGGTAGACAACTGAGAAATGTGTAAAATGTTATTTAGATGTTGAAATGACTTATATGTTGCAGGATGCAATTTTAGTATTTCAACCCTAGTTGCAATATGTGGTCTACCTTATAAGAGTGTTATAGAAGCTACCCTCGTCACTGTGTCTGATTACATTCTAGCATTCAAAAATTATCATCAAATATAATGCATTCGAGAGGATAGAAGCAGTTTTGCATTAATTACTTCCCATTTATCAATCAATCACCATTAATCACGTTGATAATAGCGACTAATTAGGAAATAAAGCGAAGGTATATGTGTCTTTTATGTTCTCTTTTAATATGTCTATTTTTTTTTAAACATATACTGTATTACAAGACAAAGAGGAATTATATG